GCAGCGCTCCTCCTGAGTGCTGCGGCCGAATCCTCAAGACTACTCGTGCCTACTGACAACTACCTACCCGTGAAGTGCATGGGACTTCCAATGTACTACTCGGGTCTGCCTCCTGACTGTAGGCGAGCAGTCCAGCAGGCTGCTCTTGCCAATGCCGAAGGAAGGCAGGGGCTGCAGCTGCAGCTCCTACTTGAGCTGGCGTGGGGAACAGGCCAGAAATAGCCTGTTCCCGAACCCCAGTTTTCGTGCCTTAGTCTCAGGGCAGGTCGAAACAAATGAGGGCCTGAAAATGGCCCTCGGTTTCAGGCTGAAAAACCTAGGCTGAAAACGAAGTAGGGCCTGCAGGCCCTCGTTTTTCAGCTTTCAGGTTGAAACGACCGGGGCCAGTAAGCCCTAAGTTTTAGGCTTCTAGGCTGAAAGTACGGGACGGGCCTCTGTAGGGCCCGTGTGGCTACGCAGTATGCCACCCCCCCCCCTCCTTGAAAGACCGAGCTTACCTGCGAGGGCGAAGCTGTCTGTCTGAGGGAGGGACCACAGTCCGGGTGGGAGGGGCAGGTCGTGGAGGTCCCTTAGCTAACCGTTGTCGCTCATAGTGAGCGTAGATCAGCGGCGCGGATGATTTCAAATCTGCTCCTGAAATCCACCGAGTGTCGTCGGGATCACATGCTCTGAATGTGACTTTGTACTGTCGCGGCTTGCTGCCGTACTTGCGATTCGAGATGACGCGGTCCACCTCCTCATGACCATCAACAGATGGAGGGTCCTGCGAGGCGTGAAAGACTGGATGGACCGTCAGATGCTCGGGAATGTTGATCACAAATGAAGGGCCATCGGGATCATCGCCCGCGGCTGATGTCACAGACCATGGTCGAAACCACTTGGGAAGCAGTTTGCGTGAAACATCCTGTTCCAGTGCAAACTCTTCCGCGGAGACCCAAACCAGATCATCGGCACGGATGGGACATGGCACGCGACGCCTATTGGCTTGCTGCTGTGTGCGGACTTGAGCCTTTTGCATGTTCGTGCGGGCTTGAGTCAGCAATTCCCTGTACTTCCGGACGGAAGCGGGGGAGCAAGCGGCGTCAATGTCGGCTGGTCGAGGGAGGAGAAGGTCGGCGAAGATATGGCCTTTCCGTCCACCGTGGTGCAACTCGAATGGAGTCACGCCTATCGTCGGGTGCACCGAAGTGTTGTAGGCGAACTCGATGTCGGGGAGGCGGTCAACCCAATCTTTTTGGTCCGGACGGATGAGCGTACGAAGCATCATTTGAGCGGTTTGATGTGCCCGCTCCGTCTGCCCGTCCGTCTGTGGATGCCGAGCCGAACTTGGTTTCATCTTCATGCCACACTCCTGCATGAGAGCAGTCCAAAATGCCGACATGAAGCGAGTGTCGCGGTCGCTGACTATGTCTTCTGGTACACCGTGGCCACAAATCCAACCGGTGTGCAGGAGGCGTGCCAGCTCCGGAGCCGTGGAGTAGTACTTGCAAGGAAGAAAATGCGCATACTTACTCAATTGGTTCACAACCGTGAGGATGCGGTCGTGGCCGATCCGGTCACGAGGGAATGGACCGGTCTCTCCATGGCAATGGAGAGACCGGGTTCCCGTGGGATGAGCATCGGGCGTAACTCGCCATAGGGATTGTGGTTGCGGGGTTTGCTGCGTCGGCAAACTTCGCAAGAGTCGCAATACCGAGTGACATCGGTAATGAGGTCAGGCCATCAGAATTGTTGTCGAAGCCGTGCAATGGTGCGGTTGACTCCGAAATGGCCAGCGAGTTGCAAATCATGGTACTCCCCGAAAAGGCGAGTCCGAAGACGACGGTCTCGTGGAACACACAATAAGTCATTGCCTCTCGAGTGGAGGAGCAAGTACCCGTCGGCAATGCGGTAATGGCTGGCCGGCGGGTGATCCGAAGATAGCTATGCATAGAGCGTGCCGAAGTCCGGATCAGACTGATATGCCTGGATGAAGTGTCGCTGAAGCTCCTCGTCGAATGCGAAGGCATGATGTGTCATAGCGCAAAGATCGGGTCTTCGCGAGAGTGCATCTCCTGCGCGATTGGACAGGCCATGGACATGTTTCGGTGTGAAGTCAAATTGGTCGATGAAGTACATCCATCGTCCGATCGTGCTGCTCACCGTGTCCTGCGTCTTATAGTAGGTCAATGGATTGTTGTCTGTGACCCATGTGAACCTAAGACGCCTAAGGAGGAAGTGCCGCCAGCGCTTGAGAGCCATCACGAATGCGAGCAGCTCCTTCCTTGCATCATCAAGCGAGTTGACGGGAGGCACTTTGTGGCTGAAATACTCCACAGGGTGCCAGTCGTCGCCGTCATGCTGTTCCAAGACTGCCCCAATGCCATAGCCGGAAGCGTCCGTAGTCACTCGCGTCGGCAGGGTGGGGTCATAGATGCTAAGGACGGGTGCCATGAGCATAGTCGTCTTAAGTGCTTGGAATGACCGGCGTGCGTCGTCATCGAATACGAATGGCACCTTTGGCGACTGTAACCTCGTCATAGGTGCAGCAATCATGGAGTATCCGGTGATGAATCGCTGATAGTAGCCCGCCAACCCCATGAATGAACGAACGTCCGTGGTGTTGGTGGGCTCGGGCCATACTCGTAGGGCCTCGATCTTGTCCACAAGCGGACGGATGCCTTGCGGCGTCACATAGTGTCCCAAGTACTTCAGCTCCTGCTGTGCGAACTCGCACTTGTCACGGTTTGCTTTGATCTTGGCTCGTCGAGGTAGATGAGTACAAGCCGATCCACCATGTGTCGGAACTCCGTTGTCATAGCCGCTTGGAAAGTGGTTGGGGCATTCGTAAGGCCAAACGGCATGACCAGCCATTCGAAATGCCCATACCGTGTCTTGAACGCGGTCTTGTAGCGATCCTCCTTGCGAATCTCGAGTTGGCGGTACCCTGACTTGAGATCCAACTTAGAGAAGAACTGGGCGCCGCCCAATCGCTCGAGAAGGTCGTCGATGCGTGGGAGAGGGCCGGCGTTCCTGATCGTCTGCGCGTTGAGCTTGCGATAATCGATGCACAACCGCAAATCCTTGTTCTTCTTCCGGACGAAGAGAACAGGAGCACCGTATGGCGATGAGCTAGGCCGAATCCAGCCTTTCCCCAGAAGGTCGTCGAGTTGTGCCCGAAGCACACTTAACTCTTCCTCGCTCATTCGGTAGACGCAACCGCGCGGAGGTACGGCCCCATCCTCGAGGATGATCTCATGGCGGATGGGTCGATCCGGTACTACTCCATGCGGGTCTTCGAACACGTCGCGGTAGGCGTCGAGAAGTTCGGTGATGCGTGGATCCGAAGGTGAGTCCGTCGATGAAGCGTCATGKGGCGGGAGGGCGTGGAGAAAACACACCCCCATCTCCTCGATGTCGTCTCTGATGATGGAAACTCGCATGCTTGTGGCGGATACCACGTGGCAGCTGATCGAAGGATGAGGAAGAGGCACCGTGCATGGGACTAGTATTCCGTTCCGATCACAAATGTGAACGGTGCGGTTATAGAAGTTCATCGAGTGATCCTCGCTTCGCAGCCATGACATGCCCAAGATCATGTCAAATTTGGTGTCCAGAATATCAAAGGATACTGCCTCACTTGCGTGAGGGGCAAAGTACACTGGGACGTCATCAATGCACCGGTCGATTGACTTGTGCGTGTGACCGTCCGCCCACGTGACTTGCGTGGGCTGGGGCTTCCTTCGGACGCGTGGGCCAAGGCCGGCGGGCACCATGAAGTCCGGGCTGATGTAGTTGCTAGATGCTCCGCAATCGATCAAAGCGCTGCAGGTCGCCTCTCCGATCTGAATGCGTACATATAGCAATGGTGCGTCGATATCGTCGTACCGTTGCGTCTTGAACTCGCGGTCGATCTTCGCAATGTAGGCGTGAAGGTCGACAACCTCTACTCCGACGTCCATCAACGCAGTCGGTACTGCAGTGTGCAAGTAATCCCGCAGTTGTGCCATGAGCATGTTGCAATGCGGTTTCGGCAATCGTCCGGTCGAGGGAACGAGCATCCACTGGAAGTCCGTGAACGTCAACGGGTCGATCTCTTCAAGTCTTGACCATGACGTCGAATCCCTGGCGATAGATTGCGGCGAAGCTGCCAAATTGGTTGCCGATGGTGATGAAACCGTGCATGCGGTTGATTGTTGCACGTGGAGCGGTTGGTCCAGCGGTGGAACCAAGTGGACAGCATAGTCCTCGTAAGTGTATCGAGGACTTACGACATTCGCATCGTCCCTTGATGTGCAGGAGGTCGCTAGCAAGGCAGCCGAATCTGGCGGAGTGGAAGGTGGAGTCGCCTCACCTCCCGCGAAACTCAGTTTCCCGAGTTGAGACGAGGTCGCACATCCTCCTTGGCCTGATCTTGGCAAAGGGAGGTCTTGTGCTTGGTGTTGTTGCACCAGTAGTAGCAGCCGTAGCGGCCACGGTACTTGTACTCCGCCTCGGTCAAGCTAAACTTGACCCATGGTGTTGGCTGTCCATTTCCGGCCTGCGATGCTGGTTTCGCCTTCCCATTGTTCTGGGACTTGTTGTTGCTTTGCAGCTGGACAGCAGCCACCTGATCTTCGTCACGTGATGCTGCTTCCACATAGGTCGGCTGCCACCTTGACTTCTCGTGTGCAGCTCCCCTGTTGGTCTTGATGATCTCTCTCGCCTTGTCAATGATCATGGCGAAAGTGGTATACTGCTCGCGATCACCAAGTGCCTGGCTCAGCGCAGCGCATGACCTGTTGTAGAACTCACGGCGTAGATGCGTGAATGGTAAGTCCAGATCGGGCACTGCCTAGATCGTCTGCCATTCCGTGAGCCAGTCACTTATTGTTGTGCTGCCCTGAGACATGGTGAAGAGACGGTTGATGGCGAGTGCTGGTGCGTCGTCGACGATGAATCGCTTCTTCATCAGCCGTGTTAACTCTTCCCATGTAATGTTGTCTCTCGGATCCGCGACGTCGACGCCGTGGGTGGCTGCCAGGTGGGTCAACCAGGTCTGGCATCCGCCCTTTGAGTTAAGGAACAGGGCGTCGATGTACACGTGTTTGGCGACAGGCAGAATCCGAAGTTGCGTCGTGAATGCTTCCCACCAGAGGATCGGATCCTGATGTTTGTAGTTGTCGAACTTCTCCAGTTGGAAAGTTGGCATCTTGTACAGCTTTGGATTGCCATCCGAGTTCGTCGACTGCAGTTGCTGGACCTCGATCTTCAGCGTGTCCAGCTGGCTGTTGATGGTGGTCGCCGCCGCGAAGGTGTTGATGTCGCCCAGCATTGCCACTACGTGGTCAACACGTTCCTCCAGTTGGCGGCTAGAGGGTGCACTGCTGGAAGCCCCACAATCTGGTCCTGGTACAACCTGTTCCAGGTCCAGTACACGGGAATTGAGTGCCCGTGTTGCATCCTCGTGGCTCTGCACCATCCGACGGAGGTTCGCCAACTCCTGGTGCTGTGTCTTCAGATCCTGGTACTGTTGCTGCAGTTCCTGGTTCTGTCTCTCTATCTCGGACCGTTGGTAGTTGCAAGCACACAACAACCGTGTCACGAGTTTGGAGAGAAACTCCTTATGCTGCTCTTCCGGTGTTGCGTCGTCGCCGTTCCGTTCAAAGTGCCAGAACTTGAGTCTCTCGATGTTGTTGGCTTCATGTCGCTGCAGCGGATCCTGGGCTTCCTTGCGGCGATCCTGGGCATCTGCGTCTGCTTCGGCCTGTAGCCGCAGCTTCTCTGCTGTTGCCGCTTCTTCAGCCTGTAGGCGGGCAGCCTCGGCTGCCAGTTGGCGCTGTTCCTCAGCCTTGATCAGAGCGATCTGAGCCTGAAACCGCTATTTGTCGTTGGCAAAAGACTCGTTGGCCAGTTGGCCTGGCATGCCCAGAGCTGTGCCCGTCATGGTGGCAGGGCACTGCTGACGTGGCACTGTTACTGCTGACGTGGCACTGCTCACGTGGCATTGCTGACGTGGCACTATTGCTGACGTGGCACTGCTGACGTGGCACTGTGACATGGCACTGCTGACGTGGCACTGTTGCTGACGTGGCACTGTGTGACGTGGCACTGCTTGGCAATGCTGACGTGGCACTGTGTGACGTGGCACTGCTGACGTGGCACTGCTGACGTGGCACTGTTGCTGACGTGGCACTGCGTGACGTGGCACTGCTTGGCAATGCTGACGTGGCAAAGCTAACGTGGCAAAGCTAACGTGGCACTGCTGACGTGGCACTGTTGACGTGGCAGTGTACCAACCCGGAAATGCATGCAAAGGCTGGGCGGGAGGGAAAACGCAGGTAGCAAACCAACCCAACAATTCTTTCCTCCGGCCCTAATCAACAGATAAAATATAAAATAAAAAAATAAAAGAGGACTACTTCCTTTTTTTTTTCTTTTTTTTTTGTATATCTGTCGATCTATTATGAGTGAGACATGTCAGAAGAGTACTATGAGCGAGATCTAGGCTAGGATCCGCAAAGTTTCGGCTGTCACAAAATGCGATCTTGAAAAAAAAAAATTGTGAAATGGAGTAAAGATGTGATTTTCATAAAAGAATCAAACTCCCATTTCTGAGAATATGGCAATCTCCGAATATGCCTAACGCCAGGGTTGCCGGCGTTCGGGACGGGCCGAACGCCCGAACCCGAACGCCCGAACGTTTGGGACCCCCTCTTGACACGTTCGGACGTTCGGCCGAACGCGGAACCAAAAAAAATAAATAATAATAATAATAATAAACGTTTCCAAAAATTCTGCAAAAAAACAAAGTCATACAGAAGAATAAACTAAACAACATTTGCCTCAACAATACATCCAAATTCCTTACCAGATTTGAAATAAAAATCAAATACGAAAAATAAATAATATTAATGAAAATAAGAAAAAATAAAACGAGACTGAAATTATTGCGTGGGCGAGCAAGTTTTTGACACCACCATTTTTGGCGATTTTCCATTTTGTTTTGGCTTTGTCAAATGCCATGAAATTTTCTACATATGTATCTTACATAATAGAGAACCTACAATTAAAGTTTGAAAAAATAATAAGTTTTTTCAGGCCCCGAAATAAAGGGAAAACAAAAAGTGAAAAGAGAAAAAAAACAAATTAGTAAGTGGGAAAGCAAGTTTTGACACCACCATCTTTGCCGATTTTTCATTATTGTTTGGCTCCACAGAATAACTTCAAAATTGAGAGACAGGTAGCTTACATAACAGAGAACTCACAAAAAAAAAATCAGGAAAAAATAATAATTTTTTGGTACCAAAATATTTTTTTGCGGGGTCCGAACCCCTTCGAGTTTGGGCCCCGTACGGGAACCCGAACGCCCGAACGTTCGGGGGTCAGCTTAGGGCCCTCCGTACGTTCGTCCTCGCAACTCTGCCTAACGCAATATTGGTAGGCTTCGCAAGATTTCGGTTTTCAGAAAAATTTTGCGAGATAGAATGGAAATTCGATTTTCAGAAAAGAATAATTCCGGTTTCCGAGAATATGACCACTTCTATCGTTATCCCAATATGCCTAGAAAACGAAATACTAACCTCAGAAAATTTCAGCTATGTATGCGAAATATCAGAGAAACGAAATGCTACTATCTCGAATTTTCAGACAAAACGAAATGCGATTTATCAGAAATTTTCAGATATTTGTTACTTAAAAACGAAGTACTAATATCAGAAATTTTCAGGTAAAACGAAATGCGAATATCAGAAATTTCAGATAGTTGTTGCGAGAAAAAAAATTCAGAGATTTTACGAAGTCCTACTTTTATATCAAAAAAGATATCCGCTCAAATGAAGCAGGTATGAAATACTTGATTATAGGAGGAACTAGTTCATCAATTTTCGCTTCTGCTTTATCTTGGTTGTATGGCTTGATTTACTAACGAGTAATCGATAGATCAAGCAAGCTGGCTATTTGATTGAACAGGTCCTCTGAATGAGAGGTCCGCTCCCATAGCAAACTGTTGCATACTGTAAAGGTGCAGACCAGAACAAGAACCGACCTCTCAATACAAAGTATAAGATAGCACAGCGGAAGACTTAGATACCAATGATCCGAACAATCAATATTACAATGCAGCCCTGAACATACATCATCATCATCGTTACACGGTGTGAATGGGGTCTGGCGCTTCACACAGGAAGACTGCGCCAGCCCCTACCATACACAGACGAAGAAGAAGGGGGTTAGACGAAGAGGA